TGGACCGACCCGTTCAAATATTTCGTCAAATAGGTGGGGGTCAATCACACATTATCAGTCATTTAATAGGGCATAAACTCATAAAGGGGAAAATGGGATTTTTGAAAATTTAAATAGGTCACCTGATGTTATTTGTTAACAATACTTAACATTTTAACAGTAAAAGGTATATTTAAGTCTAATGGGGTTAGTCCACAAGGTATATTTAAGCCTAACAAAAAAACTCGGGGTATGCTTAAGTTATTTTATGAAAATTGAGGGTATGTTTAAATCTTTTGTCCCTTATATTTTAATAAAAAGGTCATGAGCATTATTAGGGGCATTTTTGAAATAAAAAACCTGAACTAATGGTCTTTTACATTTCCCCTTATTTTATGAGGACAAGTGACCATTTCCAGATGGAAATACAAATAGTCCAGAAAGATGGTTAATTAAGTAAAACAGTTGTAAATTATAGGTGGGTATTTTAGTAATATGCAAACTAGAGGTTGAGTTTTAGTAAATATGTGAAACTATAAGAGGTGTCTACATAAATGTAGAAGGGGTGCCTAAATAAATGATACATAATAAAATTGAGTGGACATAACCACACCAATCACTATTGAACCAAAAATGGAGTTTCACTTATTCCCACCCATGGAAGTAGAATGGTAATTTTATGTGCCCCAATAGGGGATTGGGGTGATCATGGGTTGTGTTCGGCTAGGATTTACACTTATTTTAAGGGCTATAGCTCAGGCCTAGGCCTGGCCTGGGCCTGGAACATAAGCTTGAGCTCAAGCCAAGAATGATTATGGGCCTACATCTTTTATACAACTATCTATAGTATTATTAAAAGTATAGATGAGGGTGTGGAATTTTTTCTTAATTTAAATACCCATATTTGTGAATTTAGTCTCTCTACTTGTAAGGGTTCAAAATGTAATTTCAACTATTACTTTTTACCTCATTTAATCTACTTTCATTAAGTTTTATATTTAAGGCATTAACTCTCATTCTCTCTTATTAAATTCTATATTTAAATTATTTTCACTAATAAATGCTATTAATTAGATCTAAGTCCAATACTTCTAACAATATAAACCCATGTATTTTAAAACTGAGTTAAAAACAAAATAATTCTTTCATCCAAGTTGTGACTAAGTAATTAAACCATCCAAGTCAAAAGGGTAAACCCATGAAGTCAAACTTAAATAATAAAATTATTAAAATAAAAGTTATATAAAAAATTTAAAAAATATAGAAAAAACTAGACACATTTATGATATTTTTAATCAAATTAAAAAAATATAAGTGTAATAAACAAGGAATATTTTTATTGACGACGAAAATGAAATACATATTGTAAAACTAAACAAAAATGAAATTATTTTCATGTTTGGTTGAGATCAATAGTTCAACTTTTGGGTCAAATGTATCAATCTTTAATGTCATAATTAAATAACAAAGATTAATAAAAGATAACAACACAATTTAAAAAATGCATAAATGGAGCCTAAGTGATATGGGAGATAATCTGTGTTGTGGCTTAGTACAACACAGGAATCACATCAGTTGGTGATGGCAATTCTTCCGGTGTGAGTCATGTCACATCAACAACAGGGCTTTTACCACCACATGCAGCTGTTATTTGCAAGACTTTAGGTTAAGTTTAGAAGGAATACAAATACAAGTATATACAATACAGATCTATACAAAATAATACAAAATATAAGATTTTGCCCTCTACATATTTGTATTTATACTCCTTACAAATGGAGCCTTAGTGATATGAGAGAGCATCTGTGGCCTTCATAAACGCGGAAAGAAATGCAATTCCACCGGAGTCTGATAATCTCAACGGCAAAAGGAAGGATGGGTTAGTACTGCTCTATTCTCTATAGATTGGTGCGGGGTTTTGCTGGTTAAAGGTTTTACTGATGTAAGATTGTAAGCAATAAATGACATGTCTTAAAATACTGAATTCAAAAGGAAAAACAGAGAATAACTGTTCAGTCCACTCGAGAATTCTTAGCCCATTAACCGTGAGTAGGATGTGATTTATAGGAGGCTATTAATAGACTATTGGGACTGTAATTTCAGATTTCTGTGACGGAGTACAATGTATTCACCGAAGGAAAAATCCAGTTAGAATCACTTTCGAATATTGATTTGGTAGACACGTCATGTTGAGCACTTTATAATTCTGACAAATGTGTCAAAAGTTAGTTTTTTGAAGGTTTTTTTTTTTTAAAGTTGTTTTTAACTTTTTTCAAAGGTAGGGCAGGTGGCAATCAAGTGGAATCATAGACTTTGATAGCAAATCAGGTGTTATTTATCCAAATTCATTGATGGCGGATTTTGATTGGTCAAAACTCTTTCCATATCATATCTTTTTTATATCATAGACATAGATTTTCTCATTATGAGTCATTATGAGGGACGGGTTGTTTTTAATTGTTCACCATGTGATACCTGATCCGGAGTAGTCAGTTTCACCTATTGAGCAAAGTGATGATTGTATGCGCCCCACTCCCAAATCTCCTCTCTCTCTCTCAACGTGTTCATTAGATGACCATTGAGGGCGTCCTCGTTCAGGAAGTGCCTTGTTTGTCATATGATAACTTGGTAGGTTGATTGTCCTTTCTTTCTTTTTAATTATTTCTTCGTTTGTTTGGGTTTTACAGTATCATGGAGTTCAATTTCAAGTGGAGGACGAAGTTCTATTTTCGACCACACTCTTACCGAGAGATGGATAGAGCACTGAAGAAGAAGCAGGATTTTGTTATTAATGGAGAGAGAGATTCGAACTCTTTGGAGTTGACCCTTCAACTACATTGCTTGAAGTTAACCTCATCAGAAACAGTAGGGATGGTGTTAGTTAATTTTCAAACAGTAAGGATATATTTAGTCAATTAGCTAAACTATAAGGATAGTTTAAGAAATTTATCATTTTAAAAATTGGTATACAACCGAATACCATTTTGTATTAAATATAAAATTGAAGTTTCTCAACAGTAGTAAATAACACCCTAAATATAAACAAATATATAAAAATGTTTCAAAAGATCAATAAATTGAATAAAACTATCAAATGTATAAAAATGTTTCAAAAGTTCAACAAAGTCAATCTAAAATTAAAGTTAAAAATTTGTCAAGTATCCTAAAAATGTTTCAAATTTCTTTGTTTTTTTTTTCATTCACTAGCAACAAAAACGCTCCATGCATCACCCGTTGTTGACAGAGAGCAAATCTCTCATGCCAAGAGTCAGTAGCAATCGCCCAGATCATTCTGATGGACATTTTTGTCAATTTACATGACACATAACGTTCGTTAACGGTTTTGGACCAATTTGACACTTTTTGAAAGTTTGGGTACTGTAGTAACACATTTGAAAGTTCGGGTACTAACTTGACACTACCCCCAAAGTTTAAGGTATTAAAGTGGCATTTTTTCAATTTAAAATAGATACTAAGATGGGAGCTTCTCTTCTGTTAACTTAAACATTAAAAGTGGGGTGCCTACCTTTTACAACGCGGTTGGATGACCAGCCCGCATCATAAATTGTTGTGTTCAGCTCATCCGGACCCGCTGGAATGGCATTCCCCATTTGAGAGAATGGCCATTACCAACCCATTCCTTGGGAATGAAATCCAGTCCTGCTAATTCCACCAACACCATTCACATTCCTATCTGAACTATTAGGAATGGACCATCCTGGTTCGAATTCTGAAAGATTCCGATTCTGATTTTAACTGTGAATCAAACAGACCCAAAAGGAGAGAACCCCTTTCTTCTTTAGCCCCGGCGTCCTCGGTCCTTGGAGGTAGGGGTGGAGGCGGTGCTTGCCTGCCCAAACACATGAGAGAAATGCTACACACGGCATCATTGGACACCACGTCTCACATTCCGTCACTTGTCAGTCTTAGTCACTCATCCTGGTTCGTTCGATCCGTTACCATCCATCACCTTTGGACCTTTGGTTTCGATATCACGTAAGGCTTCAAATAAACCGCGCCGGTAGCCCTAGGTTACACGGCCTCCACCAGCTGCTTGGATTCGAAGAAGATAGTGTGGTCAATGAGGCTTATCACTTATGAAGTTATGATCAATCAATACAGGAACGGCATTTCCATCGTGCCTTAGTACAACACGGGAGTCATATCAGTTGGCCACGACAATTCTTCCCATGTGTCGTGTCACATCAGCAACATGGATAGGGCTTTTACCACCACATGCACTGTTATTCGTAAGATTTTAGGTTCGATTTAGAAGGAATACAAATACAAATCTATATAAAATAATTTTGTCTGTATTTGTACTCTTTCCAAATGGATCTTTAATGATATGAGAGAGTATCAGTGGCCGTCATAAATGTTAAAAGAAATGCAATTCTACCGAGTTTGATAATCTCAACAGCAAAAGGAAGGATGGGTTGGTGGTACCTTCTATTTTCTATAGATTGGTGCGGGGTTTTGCGTTAAAGGTTTTAATGGTATTAAGATTATAAGCAATAAGAATTCAAAAGGAAAAACGAAGAATGACTATTCAGTCCACTCAAGAAGTTTTAGTCCATTGACCGTGGATAGGATGTGATTTATAGGAGGTTATTAATAGACCATGGGGGCTGTAGTTTCAGATTTCTGCGATGGAGTGCAATGTACTTCACCGAAGGAAAAATCTAGTCAGAATCACTTTAGAGTATTGATTTGGTAGACACGTCATGTTGAGCACTTTATAATTCTGACAAATGTGTCAAAAGTTAATTTTTTGAAGGATTTTTTATAAAGTTGTTTTTAATTTTTTTTAAAAGGTAGGGTAAGTGCCAATCAATTGGAATCATATACTTGGATAGAAAATCAGGTGTTATTTATCAAAATTCATGCGTGATGGATTTTGATTGGTCAAAACTCTTTTCATATCATTATCTTCTCTATATCAGATTTTCTCATTTTGAGGGACGGGTTGTTTTTAATTGCTCAACATGTCATACCTGATCCGGACTGGTCAGTTTCACCTATTGAGCAAAGTGATGATTGTATGCGCCCCACTCCAAAATCTCCTCTCTCTCTCTCTCAACGTGTTCATTTGACGACCATTGAGAGAGTCCTCGTTCAGGAAGTGCCTTGTTTATCAGATGATAACTTGGTAGGTTGATCGTCCTTTCTTTCTTTTTAATTATTACGTCGTTTCTTTGGGTTTTACGGTATCAATGAGTTCAATTTCAAGTCGAGGACGAAGCTCTATTTTCGATTACACTCATACCAAGAGATGGATAGAGCACAGAAGAAGAAGAAGCTGGTTTTTGCTATTAATGGAGAGAGATTCGAGCTCTTTGGAGTTGACCCTTCAACTACGTTGCTTGAGTTCTTACGTTCTCGGACACGTTATAGAGGTGCTAAGCTTGGTTGTGGAGAAGGTAAGTTGTTTTTCCGATTGTCCCCGTGGTTTCTCCTCAAAATTTTATTGTTTCTGGTTATTTGATGCTTCGGGTTAGTTTCTGAAGGTTTCATTAATACAGAATTTCGGGCTTCTATGCGGTTGGTTTTTTCTTTAACAGTATGGATATAATTGTTTGGTTAGGTGTTCTAGGAGTATGGTTCGTTTATCTGGCTTCTTTAGCATATTGAGAAGGTTCTTATTAATGGGTTATGGCTTCTTTAGCAAGTTAAAGAAAATAAAAAAACATTAGTAGTACAGTAGTTTAGTTTTGGCTTCTGTGGCATCTCTGAAATTGAATGCTTTAACATTGGATACATAATTTTATTGGTGCTTCTCTTCAAACTGTTGGTGGACTATTATCTGTGGCATTTGGTGTTAAATTTCTTGTGTAAGGTTTGGACTCTTATGGAATTCATTACTGCTACTCTGTTTTATTTCTTGGAGATTATGATTCGATTACATTCTTTTTTTTTCCTCTTATTTAGAAGAGAAATTTCCATCATATAGGTCTTCTTAGATTGATTGGAGAATAAATTTTGCATCTAATATTCAGTTCGAATTTTTGGTTGCAGGCGGTTGTGGTGCATGCGTGGTTCTTCTGTCAAAGTACGATCCTGTGCTTGAAAAAGTTGAAGACTTCACAGTGAGTTCATGTCTGACACTTCTTTGCAGTTTACATGGATGTTCTATTACAACAACAGAAGGTCTTGGAAACAGAAAAGATGGGTTCCACCCAATCCACCAAAGGTTTGCTGGGTTCCATGCTTCTCAGTGTGGATTTTGCACTCCAGGCATGTGCATGTCTCTTTTCTCAGCTCTACTGAATTCTGAGAAGACCCCAGGGCCAGACCCACCTTCTGGTTTCTCCAAGCTCACTGTATCAGAAATTGAGAAGTCTATTTCAGGAAACCTCTGCCGCTGCACTGGTTATCGGCCCATTGCTGATGTTTGTAAAAGCTTTGCATCTGATGTGGATTTGGAGGACCTGGGCCTCAATTGTTTTTGGAGAAAGGGTGAGAATAAAGAGGAGATGTTGAGTAGATTACCCTTCTACAGCCATAGTAATGAAATTTGTACCTTTCCTGAGTTTTTGAAAAAGGAAATCAAGTCGAAATCACTTTCTGATTTCAATGACTATTATTGGTACAGTCCTGCCAGTATTGAGGAACTTCAGAGCCTATTGGAAACTGAAGAAGATGGAAACAGGATAAAACTAGTTGTTGGGAACACAGGGGTAGGCTACTACAAGGAACAAGAGCAGTACAAAAGGTACATTGATCTAAGACATATCCCTGAACTCTCTTTGATAAGAAGGGACAAAACGGGGATTGAAATTGGTGCAGCTGTGACAATCTCTAAAGCCATCCAAGCCTTGAAAGAAGAAAGTGAAGGTGGGTTTCACTCAAATGGAGAAATGATAAAAAAGATTGCTGATCATATGGAGAAGGTTGCATCAAAGAACCTCAGGAATACAGCGAGTTTGGGGGGTAATTTGATCATGGCACAAAGGAACCATTTTCCCTCTGATATTGCCACAATACTTCTTGCTGTTGATTCATCAATAGTTATACAGACAGGTCCAGAAAGAACTGAACTTACATTAGGAGAATTCTTGGAAAGGCCACCATGTGATTTTAAAACTATAATTATAAGTGTTAGAATCCCCAGTTGGGAATCAGTAAGAAGATTTTTATTTGAAACCAAAACTAAGTTGCACTTTGAAAGCTATCGAGCTGCACAACGACCACTTGGGAATGCATTGCCATACCTCAATGCTGCTTTCTTAGCAGAGGTTTCTTCCTGCAAAACTTCTGTTGTCGTAGAAAGCATTCGGTTAGCTTTTGGTGCCTATGGGACTAAATATGCAATAAGGGCAAGGAAAGTTGAGGGGCTTTTAGCTGGAAAGTCACTCGGTTTGAATCTTCTATTTGAGGCTATTGAATTACTGAAAGCAACTGTGGTGCCTGAAGAGGGAACTTCATGTCCTGCTTATCGAATAAGTCTGGCTGTTGGCTTCCTTTTTGATTTTCTTTATCCTATGCTTGAAGCTGGTTCCACAAATCTATATGGTGGCTTGAATGGGGTATATATGGATACTTTGCTAAAAAAGAATTCTAAACATGAAAGTAATAATGATCATGTTCATATGCCTTCTCTGCTGTCATCTGGAAATCAGCTTGTGGAGTTTAATAGGGAGTATAGTCCAGTTGGAGAACCGACTAAGAAAGCTGGAGCTGAGATCCAAGCTTCTGGTTTGTTGCACTCAAATAATTATTTTGTTTTATATATGTGGTGGCTCCTTTCCTTTCATCCTAACTCTATACTTCTTTCCTTTTCTTTTGGTATATCACCTGACTGCTTCTATCTCTATATTTTTATAATTATTATATATCATTATTTTCTTACACAATAATTGTTATAGATGAACTTACTAGATATTTACAGGAGGAGGTCTTGTGGTTTATGTTGTTTTCTATTGATGTAGTATTGATTGATAATAGTACAGATACGTTAAATGCAAAGCTAGAATGATGTAGAATTGGAAGGTTTTGTTGTAGAAAGAACAAATCCAAGAACTGAAAAATATGATTGGAAAGTAGAGAAAACAGGAAAGCACAAACAGAGTACTCAAACACACACACAGAGATTTATGTGATTCAGCTTATAGTTTATGTCCACAGGCATCAGAGAAGGAGAAATCCACTATAAAACAATAGCAAGGATTACAGTTGCAGTTTAGATATTTTCTCACAAACCCTAGCTTGATATTCCTTGAGCCATTGATCTTTTCTCCGGTGGCTTCTGGTTGAAGGTCTGGTGCTTGACAGAATTTGAAACGTCTGTGGAAGAAGAGTTTGAAGGTTGAAGATGATGGCTTATTGGTGGGATGGGTGACACGTGGAGAAGGAAGGTTGGGAGAAGTGGAAACTGGAAAGGTTGGAGGGGAAGCGTTTTTGGTAACTGGAAAGTTACTCTTGCAGGTTTCGATTGTAGAGGATTCACCATTTTACTGAACCAGGCCGGGTTGATGGACCAAGCAAGAGGAGATCACGTGAGGCTTTAAATTGCCAGGCGAGTCGAGAACCCGATTTTTTGAGTAGGCCATTAGAGGACGATAATTTTCGTCCATTGTCTGCTCCAGCCATTTTTTTCAGAGAACGTCGATTTGAAGAGGGATTTTTTACAGAGTTGCCCGAGGGCTGATTCTCAAGGGTTCCATCACACTTGATCAGAAGCGATTTGGCTTCACCCCAAGGGTGGACGATGGGTGAGGAATAGCACGACTAAGTAGCTGAGGGCGAAAAAGGTGATAAGATTTAAAAATCGATACCCCCATTTTGTTTAAGGAAGAAGGAAGGAAGAGATTTGGGAGTGGGTGATTACTAAGTTTCATTCTGGTGATTTGTGTGAGTCAAGGTACCCGGAGATTGAGGCATCTTCAGAAAAGATTGACTCACAAGCACTCTTAGTGACTATTGAAATCGGCATTTCACAAGGAAGGGCTACTGGCAGAACTAGATCTGTATCTCCTGAGAAAGGTTCTCACAGTGTCTTAGACAAGGTAAAGGAGGGAAGTGAAAACACTTCAGATGTGCAGTTTCGTTAGTTAAAGAGGTGGTGGACCAACATCCTAAGCTTGGTAGTAAGGGGGACGTGGAAGATCGTTTGGAGAGAACTGAGGTGGGTGAAAATGTTTAGGAAAGCGATAAAAGAAAAAAACTCTGACTTCAATGTTTTAAAGAGTAGCCTCTGTCCCAATGAGGAGCAGAATGCTAGGGCCGATGCTGGAGTGGAGAATGAAGATGAGATGGGAGGTGAGGAAATTTCAGGCAATAGTGAAGTGACTGGAAACCAGGTCGAATGCTTACACCGAGGATGTTAATTCAACACCTAGAAATAACTCAAAACAACATCAATAACGAAAAAAAAAAAAACATATCAAAGTCAAAACCAACCGACCATATTACAAAATTGCAATCCCAGCAATTCCCAAAGGCTGTCCCCGAACTCTTCTTTCTTGACTTGTGCAAATTCAGGCATCTCCAGGACAGTCTGAAATAGACTTACCAACAACCTCCATCAGTCAAACCAAGTGATAACAATCTGATTTCCATCTCCTGCCTCCACTGTCCGTTCTCTCCTTTCTCTTTTGGCAACCCCTTCACTCTTCCCCTACCAAATCCTCTTCCTTCCCACGCCTCACCTGCCTCCTCTAAAACTTTTTTCTTGTTTTGTTCTTCTCTCCTGCTCCTTTTGGAAAGCTCAATCGCCCTTCTAACCACTCTCTCCCCACCCAGAAAAAATAAACCTAGATTTTCTCACCTCAATCTATCTCTCCACTAGCTCTTCAATATCCACCTTTCCTTTTCTAGAGCCCTCCTCTTCTGAGACCTCTCTCCTCAAGGCCATCCTGCTCTCTCACTTCCCCCCTCTCACCCCTTGTTCCTTCATTTCCAGATAAATATCCCTTCTTTTTCTATTATAAACTCTTTGCTTATGCTCATCTATGTCCTCCCCACTAGGATATTTTCTGTTCAGTTCGCTTCCCCTGCCTTCCTCCTCTTCAACTTTGGCTCCCTTCTCCTCCCCTTCTTTATTGATGTCTTCTAACATTGTTGAAGGAAATACAATGTTGGAGCTTACCTCAGTGTTCAAGCGAGCAATGATCTCTAGATTTGTCGAGCCAAGTAGAATACTCTCTGTGCTTCCCTTTGTCACAACATAGTCCTCGTCGATAATTCTTCCACGTTCCCTGTTTGTGGCTTCTTCACCACTCGAACCTCCACTTCCAATGTCTATACGAGTTTCCAGAAACTGGTTCTTAAATTGGGAATAACTTTGGGATGATTTAACACCTTCCAGACCTTGGTTGATCCCGCGAGCTTGAACAATCACTTCCTCTTTAACTTCCAATGATCCTTCTAGCTTCCAGCCTTTCTTATGCAAGCTTTTCTTCCTAGATTCCTCTTCAGGTTCTCCTAACCTCTCTGCCTCCCCTGCAGTATGATTACTATGCCATTGCGAGCTCTCCACAACAAGTGATGCATCCACACGTAGCTCAAAACTCCCCAGTCACTTCTTCCTCTCTGGATTGGAGCTTGAGACTGCACCCGCAAATCCACTTAACTTGATTGTCTTTTGCTTCATATTCTCATTCTCTTTCACCTGGTTGCCGTCATCCTGCCTCCTTTTCACCCTTTGAATCTCCTTCTCTCCTCCTTCCTACCTTGTGATAATCCAAACCCAATCAATCTTTGACTGCTACCTCCGACCTTCCCCATTTTTTCCTATTTTGCCCCTCTTTAAAACCCTAACCTAGACTCCCAATTTCTCCTTCTAAGATCCCCTTTCTTAGTTCTAGGGGTGTAAACGGTATCCGATTATCCGATTCCGAATTCGATATCCGACGTAATTGAATCGAATTCGAATGGTTCGATAAATTTAATGGTCGATTTTGAATTTATACATTCGAATTCGAATTAGTGTTGATCCGATTCGATTAAAATTCGATTTTGATTAATTATATACATTTAATATATATTAGTAATAATTATATACATTTAAAGTCTTAAAGAGGGGTCATGTCCCTCATAAAAAAAGCTGACAAATGATGTCACCTACACCTACCTACTCGAGTGGTCATTTCAATGACCCTTCCCCTCCCCTATCGAGCCTCTTCCCCCTCTCTCTCTCTCTCTCTCTCTCTCTTCTCGATGACACTTCCCCTCCCCTCTCGGGCCTCTCCCCCCCTCTCTCTCTCTCTCTTCTCGATGGCCCTTCCTCTCCCCTCCCTCTCTCTCTCTTGTCATTTCCTCTCCCTCTTTTAAGTTTTAATTTTATTCTTCTTCCTCCCTCTCCCTCTCCCTCTCCCTCTCTCTCTCTTCTTTTCCTCTTTCTCCCTCTTTTTTTTTTCCAATCTTTGCAAGCTATCAACAGCGATGGCAGCATGAATGATAGCAGTCGAGCACTGACCACTACCATCTCCTTTGCCGCTACTCAAACTCAAACTCAACACCTCAAGGCCCTCAACTATCCAGCATCACGGGTCATTGTTCTGCAACAGTCAAGCATCACCGGCCAACACTGCTCACTACCATCGCATTTACACCGTTAGAAACCCCGACTGCCGCCGTCACACACTCACACTTGGCCCACCGCCGGAAACCCATGACTGCTGTCGTCAATCCCCTGCCTCTTTTCTCAAGCTAATTACTTGCTTTTCTTTCCAAAATCAGTCATTTAAGATTATAGGCCTCATGCCGGTCGAATTCGAATCGATTCGAATATTCGATTTAAATAATAGAATTCGAATTCGAAATGAAACATTCGATATCCGCTGGATATCAAATTGAATTCGAATAATGTTTTTTATAATCGATTTCGAATTCGAATCTAGCCTGATTCTATTCGAACTTACCACTAGAAGAATGGGCCCCACACATCCCATTCACCTCCTCCGAACATGCAACAACCTGCTCCTTTCTTTTCAAGTCAAGTCCAACACTTGACTCTTGGGCTTCCTCACTTTGCGCCCCTCCCTCTCCCATGTGTCTTTCTTTGGACGTTTTTATCCCCACCCCTTCAATCGAATTCCCTTTTCCACCCAGCCCGAAATCCTCTCCTTCAACTTCCTTCTCTTTGTGACTGTTCACCTCCTCAACAATCTTTGTTGCAAAACTCTCCTGGATTCGAAACCATCTCAGCCCTCTAGTTGACTTCTACGTCTTGAGCCTTAGCGTCGACCTTGCAAGAGTGCAGAGCTGATGAATCCTCCCCTTCCAAAAGAAACCTAAGATCATACCATTCCCTTGCGAATTGAAGTCTCAAAGAACTTGGAATGCTGGAGACATCCTCAACTTCTACCAGGATTCTTGCCAGGTCCAGCTTGTCCCAAGTTTGATCCCTATTATCAAAAGCAAGAAATCTTCCACGGCACTCCCCAATCTCTTGGAAGGTAAGCACACTCCACGCATGCAAGGGGATACCAACCACTCCAAGCCACACTGCACTCCTTTTTCTCATGCCAATTACCCCTGCTGTTGGATACCATCTTCCCAACCGAAGATCAAACTTTGTGGAAATCGATTTCTCAGAGTCCAATACCTAGTCTGTCACTTCCATACTGTTTGCTGGATTACAACAATCGAAGAAGAGGGAGAGGAAGAAGAAGAGAAGAAGATCTGAGAAAGGCGGCATTAACTCTTCAGCCGACCCAACAAGTTTATATAGATGATTATAAAATAATATTACATGAACGGACTAGAATGCCCCTGATTAGTGATGGGACACCTAGACAAATAAACAATTAAAACATTAAACAGGTTTAGGCCCAATAGCTAAGAACATAAGACACAAATAAGACCAACTTAAACACTAATAACAGCCGAACCAACACTCCCCCTCAAGCTAAGCATGGATGTCAATCATGTTTAGCTTGCCAAGTACGTCTGAGAACTTCGTTGAAGCTAGTCCTTTAGTTAACACATCTGCAATCTGCATCTCGGAAGGAGTATAAGGAATGCAGAGTTCTCCTGAGACAATTCTTTTTCTAACGAAGTGCTGGTCAATCTCAATGTGCTTCGTCCTATCATGTTGCACTGGATTATTTGCAATGTTGATGGCAGCCTTGTTGTCACAGTACATCCTGAGAGGACACTCGACTTTTACCCCGAGCTCACCAAGAAGGGTTCTAAGCCACAACAGTTCTGCAACACCATGGGCCATAGCTTGATATTCAGCCTTTGTACTCGATTTGGAAACTACATTCTGCTTTTTACTTCGCCATTTAATCAGATTTCCTCCAACAAACGTGCAATTCCCAGAAGTAGACTTCCTGTCCCCAATAGAGCCGGCCCAATCTGCATTAGTATATGCTTCAATTTCAATTTTGTTGTGTTTTTTGAACAGAATTCCTTTTCTTGGGAAATTCTTCAAATACCTGAGAATTCTTTCCACTGCTCTCATATGGGGAATCTTTGGAGAGTGCATGAACTGGCTGACTACATGTACAACATAAGCAATATCCGGTCGAGTGAGAGACAAATATATCAGCTTGCCTACCGGTTTTTGGTATCTTTCTCTATCAAGGTAGTCATCTCCAACTGATTCCTGTAGACCATGGTTCTGCTCTATTGGAGTATTTTCTGGTCTACACCCCATCATACTTGTCTCCCCTAGTAGGTCAAGGACATACTTCCGCTGACATATATAGATGCCCTCTTTTGATCTAGCAACTTCAATTCCAAGGAAGTATCTCAGATGGCCCAAGTCTTTGATTTCAAACTCAGAAGCCAAGAACTCCTTTAATCTTTTTATCTCTTC